TAATTTTTATTGTAATAATTATCGTAAAATAACTGAATCACTCCATTAAGATGAATACGTATTACTGTAAAAATTACGGTGTACTATTTTACGATAAAAATGGATTTTCCGGATGATGCACCCAAAGTGTAGTTTTAAATACATTTAGAAAAAAACCATGAACACTTTCCAAGGTTAGAACAATGATCCCCTTCTTCCTATTATGGCAGTCAATCACTCAAATTTGTCATATTTACTCACAGAAAGTACGATTTTGTGACTAATTTCGAAACTTAAAATATGACAGCAGAAGGAAAAAAAATACACTTAATAGTTAACCCAACGAACTATGAAGATTAATATTTCCTGTATGATTTATAAGGACTATATTTTCTAAATTGTGTTTACCCTGCTCCCTATTAATGGTCACGAATTAGAAATTACGGTAAAGATTTTCAGCACTCGGGGCCTCGGTACTTTTTACCTTCAAATACATTTTTACCGGAACATATTACGGGATGAAAAATCTGATATACAGTAATATTTACAGTAATAACAAAGTCACAGAATCATTCTAATTAAATAAATATTACTGTAAAAATTACGATATAATACTTTACGCTAAAAATGTGTTTTACGCATGAGGCACGCTGTTAGAATTTTTATTCTAAAATATGATAAAATAATAATAATTTATAATTATTATATAAACAATTACAATTAAATTAAAGTATGTATTTTATGAATTTGAACTTTTGTGAATATAGACAGTCTATGCTCTTTCCGTTATCAACATATATGTTTAGAATTTTTGTCTAAATATAAGAAATTAATATATAATCAAAGAAAGAAAGAAAACAAAAGACATAAACATTATGAAAAGTTTATTTACCAACCAGGAGAGCAAGATTGAAGACATCAAACTCTTTCAATTTTGCAATGCAAAGTAAATGTAGTTTTTCTGCAGATTCATCAGAAAATATATTTCTGAAACAATAACTGCATAATTACTTCAAATTTACTGCAGAATAAACACGGATTTAAAGTTTCAGTTTTTTCTAAATTTATGATTTTAAAGTGACCTCACTTTGACTACAGTAATTTTGTAGACAATAGCTAAAAGTGTTTTCGAAATAAATTATTTCACATTAGCTGCAAAATAACTGCAGTGTTTTTACAGTTAAGATTGCACTACAGAAAATGTGCAGTTAACTCTAGAAAAACTACAGAACTACTTCAGTTCTGTAGAAAAACTGCTATTTATTTTTAACTGATATATTTGGTGAAAGATGTTAATAAACGGTTTTTCTGACAGTTAACAGTTTGACTACCGTCTAATTTACGGTTATTTGACTGTTTTGCTATAATAAGGTAAAATAACAATTAAATAAATTGTCATTTAATCATTTTTTCCGAGAAATTTCTAGCAATGGACGAAAAATACCGGTACTTTATACCATTATTTGATTCGGAATTTATTTTTTACTGTGTATATTTATTCGACGAAATCATGTTTTTATGCTTAATTTTTACTAAATTAAAATATTGTCTGCACAAAAAAAGCTAGCCCTTCGAAATTGAATCTTAGTACAAATTAATCATTACATCAAAAGCTATGGCATTCCTTCTTTTATTTTTGCGCACAGTAAAAACATCAGCTCCAAACAAAGTTTTTATTCATCAAATAATATTTATAAAATTTATTTATAATAATATTTATAATATAAATGATATTTTATTTTTACTTCTGCTGAAATTAGTTCTTTCACCGAATCAATAATCTTAAAATAGATTAAATAAAAAGTTCTTAAAACTGACCAAGTTGAATTTGAAACCAATTAACAAGCATCTTATTCACTTTTTTCTTAAATATATTAAATATTTACCGTATTAATTTATATTACTGGAAAATCAAAAAACGTCACAAATTTCTGTAATTTCTTTACATTAATAAAATTTAGAATAAAAACAAATAAAAAAAACACGTATATGAACGTTTTTTGTATAGTATATTTCAAAAATGGGAATCGTTCTGTGCAAGGTGTGAAAGCGAGACGGAAGAGAGCAAATGCTGGTATAGTAAAACCATTTCAATTATGGCTAGTTTTCGGCAGGAGTTTATTTAATCTTTTTTTCTAACTATTCAACAATATCTACTTTATCTTGGAAAAGAAGCAGTTTTATATTTATACTGGAATTATAAAAGAAATCTTGATAGTTACAGATATTTTTTTTTCTCGAAAAAAATACTACACTGAAATGTTTTTCGTTCCAGTTCTTGCACTTTTCCTTCTTGCTATATAAGCACTTTCAGCCATGTTCCGTACCGTTAACACCCTACTGTCAGATCGATATATACAATTTATTGTTTCGAGGCAAGCACAAAGAGCAACGAAAATTTATTTTTCCTTGCACTTTTATGATAAGCATTGCGAGAACTGCAGTAATAGTTAAAAATTGCTGTTCCAAACGACAAAAACAAAAAATGGAAATTTAGCTGTCTAGACGTTTTATAGGGAATTATGAAGCGTGTCATTGTGAAGCTTATCTATATAAATTTACTAACTTCTAAAAAGGTTTTGTCACAATATTACAAAATACTAGTTACTGTTTAGCGAAATTTTATAAAACAGTATAAAATGCTTTGAAAATATTTCTATAATGTTGATAGGAAATAATTTTTTTCCCAATTTTTTTTTTCTAATCCTTAATGTTAAATGAATAAATCAATAAAACACACTTTGGAAATCGTTCTCTCTACATACAATGAAAAATGATGCGTCAGTTTGCGTAGTCGTAGTAGAGTAAATGGAATCATTTCGAAATTTTAAATTTAAATTTTTTTTAAATAATTTCGATTTTATAGATGGCTCAATATTATAACCTTAAGTTGATTGAGTTTCGATGCATTTATTTTGTTTTAACTGTGTCCTACGAATTGGTGCATGCTAAACGGCATTTAAGCTCTGAAAAATTCAGAGCAATGCTGCCGGAAAGATACCTGAAAGAATCCTGAAATTTTATTATGAAGGCAGATCAGTTAAGCGTCAAAGGTAACTAGTTTTGTTTTAATAAAATTAGTATGGTAAATTAATTAAATAATCACTAAATATGAGTATGCTATATCACAAAAGCTTTAATGCAAATTTTAAAAGTTTTTAGTAAATCGTACTTAAATTCATTATTTGGATTTCAGTGGATAAAATTTATATTTAAAGAATCTTAATTCATTTGTGGAATAACCGAAAATCACATATTACTGTAAAAGATTGATATGACATTAATTCATATTTTGTTAAAAACATTGAATACATTAATTTACTTAATATCCTAATCATTCTGATTTAATACTAGCTGAATATTTGTTCTTAGAACGGGGTGAAAAAATCAAATTCATAAATTAGTGTTGATAAACTGTGCAAAGTCATTGACAAAACTGAAAGACATATACCTTCATAACTAATGAAACTTAAGCAATTCCAATTTTTTTAAATACTTGTTTACCGTTCCGGTGACTTTACATTATGAAATTAAATATAACATGCTTTTTTAGAAATTCATCCCATCAGAAAAAATGATCTGTATTTATAATCATTTGTCATGAAGATCTTGCTCGAGAGCAACACATAATAGTGAAAATTTCACACAATCAATAAATTTCCTCCACTATTTAGAAATTTTCTCCTTTCAGAGGGTCGTTAAAGATTCACTACTGCAGTACCTTTAATAGGTACTTTGGTACCTATTTTAGTTTATTTGGTACATATTGAAGCAACTACAATTACTATATTACCAGATTACCAATAGTACCTATATTGCCAAGATTAATTAAGCATTATTGGCGTCAATTAAAAAAATGGTGATATTTTATGGTTCCCCTAAGCGAATAAGTACCATTTCTCCACTAGTTTTGTGTTTCTGTGCATATCTTATTTTTTCTTAATTCAAAGTTATCAAGGTTATTAAATTGCTTAGCTTCATAGAAAAAGTTTTTAAAATGTCCTTAAAATGAATAAGCATGTTGTTTCAAATAACATTAGAATTATAAAATTCGGTGACGTAGCCCTCTCATGACATCGACGTTGATTGGATTGACGTCACATGTAATTTATAATACTATATTAGATTGAAATTTGCACTAAAAATAGATACTTAATAAATTTAAACACCAATTTAAATAAATTTATTATAAAATATAGTGTTTTAAGGTAATATTACAGAATTGTATTATAATAAAGAAACTACTCTTTTAGTTTTAAACTCTTAATTTAGAAAGCAATGAAAATCAAAAACATAATAATAGCAGAATAATAATTAGTGATAAAAACAATTAATTACTTTAAATTATAAAATATTTTATTTGAAAACAATACCTTTATGACTTATATTAATCTCTATCTGATAGCAATAAAAAATTCTATGGAAATTAATGTGAGAAAACTGGATCCAACTATGTAATTTTTTGGCTAATGGAAATGCATCGACAACAGTGTAAAACTCTGTTAAACTGTTCTGTTTTTATGTTATATAGAGGTATAAAGCTCTTATTTAAAGTTCATTAAATTAACAATAATTTCTGATTTAACAACGTTCCCATTTCTGATAGGCTGGTTCATGTAGTCGAAGGCAATCATTTTGTCAACGATTTCATTGGACCCTGCGTCTCCATCATTCAATTTATATATATTTACCCAGTACCTTGAAGAAAAAAAAATTAAACCGGAAGTCTTGCAATCCTCTTCTAACGTCAAAGCAGAACATCGCAATATCTCAGTTTAGTGTAAATCAATGCATTCGTAATATCCAGAGGAAGTTATAAATGCCTCTAATTGTACTGCCATCTATCGATAATAGGAAGAACTAATGTCAGGAATAGGACGAATAGTTAGACTACAAATTACATGCGACATTGTTCGTGAATCTGTTGTATTGTTTTTTGCATTGCTGTCTGTCCGTGATTTTTTTAAAAATGCTTTTGCAAAATTGTATGGTACAATTTCATTTTTTTTCTCGTGTTTCAGTTTTACAAAAAGATTTTCGACAGAGTCCGAAGCCTGTGCAAGCTGCTATGGGGGAAGCAGCCATTTTGGAATGTGTGCCCCCAAAAGGCCATCCTGATCCAACGGTCCGGTGGAGAAAAGATGGAGAGTATGTCAACACCAACAAGGGAAGGTTCCGGATAGTGAGTCCGGGAAATCTAGTTATTAATGATGTCCGGCAATCTGACGAGGGTCACTATCGATGTGTAGCTGAGAACCTAGCTGGATTTCGAGAATCAGTTCCAGCAGCCTTGACTGTTCAAGGTATGAAACACGTTCTGAAACTATGCGATGCGATTATCGGAGAAAATACGACAAAAATTAGCTTTTGACATTTTAATCGCGCTTCTTATAATTTTTTGCTATTCTTATAATTCTATTTCGCTATGCTAATTATCGCTATTCTTATAAATTATTTTGTGCAAATATGGGCTTTTAAGTGACGTTTCTTCTCAAAGAATGATTTTAATAATTGTAAACTAAAAAAAATATTTAATTTTTTTTATGAGGAGAAAAGCGACGTATTTTGAGAAAGAACTGAAATAATAGTAATAAACTGTAGTACATATAATTCAGAAACTAAAGCAGCTGCCCAAACTTAGTAATTTATGTAGTTTACTTTGTAAATTATAATAAAAGTACTGATATCCAATTATGTATTAATTAAATTCAAACTTTATAAAATGATAATTGCTTGATTTCATAATATAAAAAAGAAAACTGTAATAAATAAACTTTAGATTGGTGCTCTTATTACTTCAGACAGGAACTTGTTTCAAAAACATGAAACAAGAACCTCTGCTCAAATGTTTAAATTTAACTAAAAAATATAATTGTGATTTTTACAGCATTACTATTAATATTTAGCTAAAAGTTGAACTCGTTTTAAATTGAATATTTTGAATAAGGAAATATTTATTTTTATCTTTTTTTCCCTATATTTAAAAGAGTAATATATGATTATTTCATAAAAATTTATAAACAGATAAGTTTAGGCTAAATTAAAAACCTAATTAAGGCAAAAACAATGTATTAGTTGTTCAGAGTTTCTAAGTAGATCTTAAGTTAAGATAAGTAAGATAGTTTTTAATAAAGTTTCAATACAGATTTTAAATAGATATTTATAATTAGTTCTAAATTATATTCTTGTTCTTCACAAATTCCAAAATCACATTAAAAATGATTTCTTTAAATCATTTTAATGCTAAAATATTTTTAACTTATGTTTATAAATTCTCTTCAATTCAGTTTTAACTTATTTTATAAAATATTTATTTTTGAACGTCGTGAAACTGATTGGCGTCCTAATAATTCAATTAATGCTTTTAAAGTTTATACCTATTATTGATTTCTACATGCATCATTCAAATCGATAGCTAATAATTTAACTATTTATAATAGAAAATTACTTTATTGTTCACAAAATTTATACTACGGAAATAAAAGAATAACAAGTTGCACAGAAAGACTTTTATTGTTTTGAATTAATTATTTAGATTCGATGGGAAATTATTTGAAATATTATTCATATTGTAGAATAATTAGAAAAGTCAATTCGTATTGAACTCAGTAATTAAAATGTCTTTAAATGAACTAAAAATGAGTTAGGAATGTGAATTTCTTTAAAATTATTAAGATAATATGATCTTAATAAGTACAATTTTAATAAAAATTGCAATAGCGTTAACAATTCTCTATAATTTTCTGTAGGGGAGAGTAGGGTCAATTGTAACATTTTTTACTTAACTATTTTTAACTAGCAAAAAATCCAATGTATTATTAGTATTAATTAACAGACGAGTAAAGTAGACTATCCTCAACTAGAAAAAAAAACCTTATTTTAAATGCTATTATGTTAGTTATTAACAATATTTGACAGTCGTGCACTTGTTACAATTGTCCCCACTTACGGGGTCAATTGTAGCAGTTCATAAATTCAACTAAAACATAGTTAATTATGCATATTATCATAGTTGTGATATATTTCGTTAAGTGAGCAAAATAGTAGTGATATTTTAGGAGTAAAAATAATAATGAACGGAGACCTAAAGGGTTAAACTTATAACTTTAAGGGGTTAAAAATTTTAATTTATGCTGTGAAAGGTGACAAATAAAATAATGCACATGCAACATAATATAAATGATATAGGAAACTATTGGTGGTTCTTAAAGAGTTAAGTAATGGTTTGTAAACATAAGATTATTTATTTTCAGCTGTTACAATCGTCCCTTTACTTATTGTTACAATTGTCCCCAAGACGCCATTTCAGCTTCATTTGTTAAAAACAATGCTAGTTAATTAACAAAACTAATCTTTTTTTTTTTAAATGTTAATTAAGGTGTCCACTTACATATTCGGTTAATAATTTTTATTTGTTTAAACAAAATTACTTTGTTACAATATAATATTCTAATACCAAAAAAAGTACTTACGTAGCGTGAAAATATCTTTTGTGATGTAACTCTTTCAAAAGTACATAAAAATGGTTGCCAGCAGGGGTGTACATGTAGATTTATTAAATACAAATTGTGCGCCACCTAGGAACCAAATCTAGAGCTCAACACGCAAAATTTTTGCTCTGATACAATCGTACCCTGTTGCAATTGACCCCACTCTCACCTGCTCACTATTTAACGATGAGTTTGAATTTTAATATGTCACTACAGTGAATAAAACTGGGTTAATCAAGATTAATAAAACTGGAAAAATCTCTTTGCAGTGAAACCATTCTTCGTTCGAGAACCTGAACATGTGACAGTTTTGGCTGACGAAAACGTTCAATTCGAATGTAAAGTTGGAGGGGATCCTTTACCGACCATAACATGGCGAAGACAAGATGGTAAAATGCCAGTAGGAAGGTAAGTAACAAGAAATTAACTATTGAATGAAAAATTTCAAAAGACACAAATATTCAAATGGTTAGTTTCTTTTTTTTCTGATTGCACAAAAAAAAATATCAGTCAAAACCAAAATTATAAAAAATAAACGATTACAATTATAAAGTAAAGAACTGTAGTAACAGCCAGTTGTAAACCGAGGGGTTCTGACTTCACATTTCTATAGCTTACAGTATAACGGTGATAATGTAGTTAGCATGGTGAACCGACCACCTTTACTAGTACCCATCCATCTAAATCTGGATAATCTTCATGCCGACGCTGGGTGTAGAACCTGGTTCTTACTGTCTAAACCGTAGTACTATCGCGAATCTGTTTATACTTTGATCTAAAGTGTGACTATGAAAAAATAAGGATTTACATCTTTCGCTGGAAATTGGAATGACATTTTTTTATTGTAATTGTGTTAAAATATTGCATTTCTTAAATTCAAATGAAAAAAAATTGCGAATTAAAAGTGACTGAGAATGAATTTATATCCGATCAACAAAAGTGATGCTTGTAGTTGATTTATTCATCAATTGCCATGACAGTTATACAGGATACTTGTCCATTTCTGCTTTAAACGCCGATTTTTATTCGATATTGTCTGGAATATCCAGCAAAATTTTTTTAATTTAATTTGTCAGTCATTATATGGACCTTTTTCAGAATTTTAGCCATATCGTTAAAGTAATATAATTTTAAATTTATAGAGTAAGAAGGTATTAAATACTAACAAAAATTAGTTGCAAAATGCGTAAAAATTATACGATACGTATGAAGTTCTTTTTATTTATTTTGCTTTCAAGAGCATTCTCACTGTAAAAAATTCCAGATCAAATTACGATATAAAGTACCGGTACTTTGGTTGCATCATCCATCAATTTCAATTTATCGTAAAATAGTAAAACGTAATTTTTACAGCAATATTTCTTTAATTTGAGTGATACAGATTTTTTACGATAATTATTACTGTGAAAATTACGGTACATCAGATTTTTTGTTCCTGTAAAAATGAATTGTACGTAAAAAGTACCTTCACCCTAAATGCCATTACTTTTTACCGTAATTTGATCCAGAAATATTCACAGTGCATTGTTATTCTCTTTTATGAACAATTTAATTCTTAGTTTTATCTGATTTAGTAAATAAATATTAAATACTACTTTTCCACTCTCTCTTCAGAGATTATTTATTACATTTCTGATAATTCTTTAGAATTAATCTAATGCCTAAGTATAATGCATTATTGGAACATTCAGCACTTTCTTTCAAAAACTCCTTGTAAACGTGATAAAGAGTTAAAAATCAACCACTCCATTTTCTCTTACAGCCATGAATAGGCTACTTCATAAAGAATAAGATGTGTAGTTAAAGTGAATAAAGAGTATTACAAGTCATATTCAAGTACTCTTTACATCCATTTAGACAAAGATTAAAAAAATATAAAAGTAGATAGCACTTTAGAGTTCAGATTTTTTTTTACTCCTCTTGATTAAATGAAACACGTTATTTGAGTTTTCTTAATTTAAGATGATATTTTAAAAATCTGTTAGTAACGTCCTCGTTTATTCTTTTATTATAATATAAATTTAAATTATTCTAAGTTTTACTTCTTATTAATAAAGCAAACATGTCTTGGCAGAACAATGTATTTAAGCATCTGCATAATGTATTAAGAATGAATAATTTGCTGAATTTGAAATTGAATAGCCACATTCCCAGAAACATCAAAGTATAAAAACTCAGTTAAAGAACAACAGAAGGAGATAAAAAAAATATACGGTTTGCTGCTTATTGGTTATGAAACCAGGGTTCTCAAATTTAAAAGTCCTTTACATAGTTTATCAACAGATTATGCTGTCTACTAGAAAAAGTTTATAATAATGTTTTTTGACAAATATCATTGTAATATTTGTTAATATTTGGTGTAACTAAATTACATCTTCTCCTAAAGAGATAGCAGAAAACCATTTTCGTGATTTTTATTCGATTTTTCAAAACTTCAATCAGCTTTGGCGTAGAAACCAAGTTCAGTTAAAAAAAAAATTTAAATTAAGGACTGAAATTGCATTTAGGAAATTCCTTTTCTCCTCGTAATGATGTGACGCAGGTTCGAATCCCAGCGTTCGATGGTCGATGCCAATTCTTCTCTCGGCTCGCACCGAATCACAATGCTGGCGTAAAACATCCTCAGTGGTAGACGGATCATGGGTTAGAATCCTCTTGCCATCGGCCTAACCGTGGGAAGTTATCATGGTTTTCCTATCCATGTAACGTAAAAGCAGCTTAGTTCCATCAAAAAGTCTTCCATGGAAGCTAGTTTGCCCATGCTTGTTCTAGGAGTTAAAAGCTCGCGACCAGGTTTATTCTTTGACATTTTAATTATTTCCTTTATATGTTATCATCTTAGCATTTGATGAAACACATTGTTTCTTTATATTTACGTTTTCTTATTGATTCGCAATAATTTCTTAGTAATTTGGATTATGTATTTCTTTTTGGCATTAGTCAAATAATTAGCTTCGAGAACATTTGTATAAGTTTTATCATATTTTAAATGCTCTAACAAGTATTAATGTCAATTTTCTTCCCATTACCCTCTTTTTACAACGTAATACTTAAAAGAATGGATTTCTACCTATACCTTTAATAAATACCTTTACAGAGCTCAAATCCAGGAAGACACAAGTTTGCTTATCAAGGATGTTCTTCCATCAGATGAAGGAACTTATATATGTGAAGCAGAAAATCCTGTAGGAATAATATCAGCCTCCGTCACCTTAACCGTTCATTGTAAGTTTCAGTTATGTATGTACATGGAGGAAAAAATTATGGTAAAATTATGATTATGACATTTCTATTAAAAAATCCATAATTTTTGTTATTAAATTCAAAATATATGGTATTTAAGCTATTCATTTTGTTAATTTTTCCGTTTATGTGATAACGGTTGTCTGGAAATTCAGATTTTAAGAATTATAGTTTATGTTACCACATATTTAGAAAATATATAAAGCTAAGAAGTAAATCTAACCGAATAAATGGGTTTTATGCCATGCTCTAAAGTATCATTATAAAATTAATTCAATTTTACCACATTCATCATATATATCTCATATTATAAAGTCATAATTTATTATTAATTTTACCACAATCATTATAAAGGGATTCGGTAAAAATTACTGAGATTTTGGTGTTCCCATAGAGCTAGAAATATGTTAAATTTTTATCATATTCTAGTAGCTTCGACCATGTTTTTTTTTGCTCAGTGAACATTAAATACCCATTAATATTTACTTTTTTGAAAAATAGTTGATTTTTTAGATTGAATATGATTTGCATTCATAAGAACATATTATTAATGCAGAATGAATTCTTAAGAACATATTATTAGTCCAGAAGGCATTCATAAGAACATTATGTCAATACAGAATGCATTCATAAGAAAATGTTGTTAATACAAAATGCATTCTTTGGAGAATGTCATTAACACAGAATACGTTATTCCAAATTCTGTATTGATACCAAAATCATTTGTACAATTAGTAAATAATACACCGCTATTACGTAATTTGGTATACACTTATTAAATTATAAATTTTTGTATACTCCTATAAAACATACATATTATATACATATATATTATATAAATATTGTATACGATATGTTACATACAACATACCATTAATATATAATTTACTATACGTGTTTAATATATAATTAGTTGTCTAATGTGAAACTAAGAACAGCGTATTAACAATGAATTCTGCGTTTAGTAGTGGAAATAATTTCCGTAACTTTGTAAGTGATAATAGCATCTGACCAGGATTTTTTCATAGATATAGCATTTGCTATTGAATCCACTGTCTCATTGCTACTAATATCAACATTAAAGGACATCCTTAGGATGTGCAGCTCCGCATTAACTGAAAATCTGGAGAGTAAGTTTAGGAGGGATCTGTCAACCCTGTCCATTCCGTTACTAAACTAAAATAAATATAATTACAAAAAAGAAAATTAAAATTTCCAATTATTAAAGGAAATTACATTTCCTAATTAGTTCTGCAAGTTGGAGAAAATTATATCCAATGAGAGAAGACTACTTAAAGAATTTTCTAAAGGATGATTCCATGAGTTTCTTAAGCAACTGTATAATCGTAGGAACGAGTATATGAATTCTGTGCTTCTTAAATTGCTACTAAATCATTAAACTAGCTTTTGTTTACACACAAAGTCTAATAAAGGAAACTAATATAATTATATTTTCCCTTTTAGCCCGACCCATTTTTCTCAAAACGCCTAAGGACCAGAGAGTTGGCTTGAACGGAATTGCGAAGTTCGAATGTTCTGCAACCGGCAACCCTCCTCCTTCGGTGTTTTGGTCGAAAGAAGGGAATCAGGTAAGAATCTGTTAAAGTTAAAATAAAATTTGTTAAAATAGAGATCTGTTCCCTCCGTTTTTAAGAGAAAAAACTCGAATAACCATACTATTTGGGATTATTTTGTGCATTTTAAATGCCAAATGCCAAGTACCATGTTTTGTTTTCATAACCTTCAGATTACACAGGTAGAATTTTCATTCTGAAATTACTGTAAAATAATCTGCAGCAGTTTGTCTATCCGATTAACCATAAAGTTTGCGGATAGGAACATTTTAAAATTTATGGTTCTAAAACCGTTTACATCTGGTGCGGTTAAAAAAATACGGTTTATACAAACTAAACTTATGAATACAAAAAAATATATACAGTTTTGTATCTATTTTACAATTAGCGTAGTTTCTAAACCATAAAAATGAAACTGACATTAAACGGACTTTGGAACTCTGTGGGTGCTGCACCATCTATCGCAAATAATAGTTTCATATTCAAATAGTCCAGTATTGAAGAGTTTAAAACACAGGAAACTCTTCATGTATTCAAGGAAAAAAATATTGTAGTATCACAGCTGAGATTAGAACCCCTGATCAGCCGGTCAAGAGATTGACCGATTACCTCTCTCAGCTACAGTATGTACATGGCTACTCGAAACAAAATAGCTTTCGGTTCATATTCAAATTGTCCAGTATTGAAGAGTTTAGAACACTGGAAACTCTTCATGTATTGAAGGAGTGAAGGAAATATTGTAGTATCACTGCTAAGATTAGAATTCCTAATCAGCCGGTCAAGAGATTGACCGATTAGCCCTCTCAGCTACAGTACGTACGTGGCTGCACGAAGCAAAATATCTTTAGGGTTAGATGGAGCTTGTTGGCGAGGATAGAATTCTGGTTCCTTAATCGTATTAATAGAAAATAATTATGAAGCGATTTTTCTTACACTTAACAGTTTGAATATCTTTCTTTATGGTTAGTTGACTTTTTTGGTTGAATATGGTAGAATAATAATTAAATAAATTGCTATTTAACCATTTCTGTCGAGAAATTTTAGACAGGTCACCTTGCAATTTATCTAGCATAGCAGAGCTTTTGCAGAAATTTTCTTAACCAAATTTTTACTACTTCAACAAGCGGTGATTGTGAAACGAATAACCTGACTGCAAGGGGACTCTAACCCAAAATCCTTATTGTTAGTTAGGGTATGAATCCTTAGTAAACGTATAGTAAAAATAATTATTACAACTGTAATGATAATTAAATAAGGTTAGTTTAAAAACAAAAGAATATTAGAGAGTTGACATAACAAAATAAACTTGTCTGCTCAGACGCCGTGAATTAATCAGCAACAACACACTACTATGAAAGGTAGTTCTTTTTGAACAGTAAAGAGTAATTCAGAGCTTGTCCTCTAGAAAAGAGAATTAATTTCTACACAATCGAGGTATCCGAACGCGATTTTCCAATCCAGTGGCGTTTAATGACCTGCTCTTCAGCTTGGCATTTTCTTCGATAAAATAAAAAATTTGATTTTTGACTATTTTTAGTTCCGATAACGAATTTTAAAATAAATATAAGCTTACATTATAATTGTGGCCAAATACAGCCAAGAGAAAAATCTCCAAAAAAGAACTAGTCATTAAAGGTCACTAGATTGTAAATTAGCTACCCGGACTCTCCCCCCCCAACCCGGTCTTACCCCATTCTCCCCGACATATTTAGTGTGATTAAAGAACATATCAATATCTTTTAAAAACTAATGAGAATTATCTGTTGTTCTTTAGGTTCTCATGTTTCCCGGATCGTATGGTAGGTTTTCAGTGTCACGGGAAGGAACACTGATGATTTCAGGTGTCACAAAAGAGGATAAGGGTTACTATACATGCTCAGTTGTCTCTGTTATCCGATCCACTTTTGCCAAAGCCTACTTGGAAGTGACAGGTAAATACTGTTTTCAATGACTCGTGACACGTTTGATACAAAGTTCGAAATATAACAACTTTTACCAGTACGTAATAAAGAGGAATGTACTTAATAGTCATAATAGTATATGTCCTGTATGTTTATGAAAGTCTATGTAACGTATAAGGAATCATTACATTATTCTGTGCTTGTAAACGTCTTTATTGAATGCACACTATAATGGTTTCAGGAAATTATGAGAACTCTCAAGGCATAACATATTTTCCATAATGCTCTGTGTTGGCCTTGCGTATATATATTGAAATTTAATTCGCTAATATATTCTATTCTATTCTATTCTATTCTATTCTATTCTATTATATTATATTATATTCTATTCTATGAGATGGAGTTT